CGTGAGCCACCAGCCCAGCTCAGAATATCTTTATAGCAACATCTAGACTCATGTTTGACCAAACAACTGGGCACTGTAACCTGGTCAAGTTGACACGTAAAATTTAATGATCACAATTACCCAGAGCTGTTTATGTTGCCCTCAACTCTCAGCTCTATCTAATCTACTGTGAAAATACACACATACTCACACACATGCGCACACTACCAACAACAGTGGTAGGCATTTCATTGTAAATGCATAGAAGTAAATCTGGAAGGATGCTAAACTCATTACACGACCCCATTGGGGAATGTCCACGATGGACATCAAAGGGTATTTTAACTATAAACTGTAGCTGTAAAAATATTTTTTAAGAATATGATAATGGGTTAATTGTATAATTAAAATTAATATTTAAGTGGCAAAACTTTTAAAAGAAAACCAAAGGAGTCATTGAGTCCCCATTATTCATTCAGCAAAAATTTGCTGAGCACCTACTATGCTTCAGTTGTTGGAGACACTGTGGATAAGACAGATCCAGCCTCTATCTTGGTGGAGCTGATGTCATAGTGGAGAAGACAGGCAATAAAGAAGCAAACAGGGAAATAGCAGATGATTTCAGAAAGTGTTCAGGAGTATTCTGAAAGCAAGTAAGCCATGTGCAGGGGCACAGTATGAATGGGGACAGGGTTATGTTGGTGTGGGAGGTCAGGGAAGGCCTCCCTGCAGTGATATTTGAGCTCAGCCCTGAAAGAGGAGAAGGAGCTGAAAGAGCACACCAGGGGACCAACTTGGCACATGCAAAGGTCCTGTATTAGTCCATTCGCACACTGCTAATAAAGACATACCTGAGACTCGGTAATTTATAAAGGCAAAGAACTTTAATGGACTTATAGTTCCACTTGTCTGGGGAGGCCTCACAATCGTGGCAGAAGGTGAAGGAGGAGCAAAGGCACGTCTTACATGGTGGCAGGCAAGAGATTGGTGCAGGAGAACTGCCCTTTATAAAACCATCAGATCTCTTGAGACTTATTCACTATCATGAGAACCGCATGGGAAAGATCCACCCCCATGATTCAATTACCTCCCACTGAGTCCCTCCCACTACACATGGGGGTTATGGGAGCCACAAATCAAGATGAGATATAGGTGGGGACACAGCCAAACCATATCAGGTCCTGAGGCAGGAATGAACCAGATGAGCTGGGATGAGAACCCAAGCAAGCTTCTGACTTGGCAACTGAGGCTCAGAGAGGGATACAGACAACTCAAGGCCACAGCACTGGACATGGTGTAACTAAACGAGAATAGAGCAGTGTGCTGGTACAGAGCTGCCTGTACAGGAAGGAGGCCTCTGAGCTGCTTGAAGGGCTCTATCTGCACTCCCCCACAGAAATCCCCTTATGATCAGAGCCAAACATTGGAGACCTAGCCCCCAGGCTTGTGCCAGCCTTGCCCTGTCAGCCAAGGCCAGTATCCCCACTGAGGGGCATCTGAGGGCTCCGTACTCTTTGCCTCTGAGTTGAAGGTCAACAGAGGCTACCACTGCTGTTTTACCTAATTATATAACAAAGACCAGGGAGGAAGGTGTCTGGGATAGATGCTTTACCTGCACCATCCCATTGAATCCGCTAAGAACCCCATGAAGTGGTATTATTATTCCCATTTTGCAGTTGGGAACACTGAGACAGAGAGATCAAAGACCTTGACTCCAGAGCCTGTATTTTTCTTTTTTTTGAAACAAGTTCTGGCTCTGTTGCCCAGGCTGGAGTGCAGTGACATGATCTCAGCTCACTGCAGCCTCCACTTCCTGGGCTCAAGCCATCCTCCCACCTAAGCCTTCTGAGTAGCTGGGATTACAGGAGCATACCACCACACCATGCTAATTTTTGCATTTTTTTGTAGAGAGGGGGTTTCTTCATGTTGCCCAGGCTGGTCTCAAACTCCTGAGCTCAAGAGATCTGCCTGCCTAGGCCTCCCAAAGGGCTAGGATTACAGGCGTGAGCTACCGCACCTGGCCCAGACCTGCATTCTTTACCTTTACAGTCTAGACCCTGCTCCTATAGATCACCAGGCAAGAGCGAGACCATCTTTTTTAAATGCCAGAGCCTCAGATAGAAAAGGATGATCTTACCCAGGACTTCATTATACAGATGAGAAGACCAAGGTCCAAAGAGGGAGAGGAACCATCCCCTGACTATACAGAGCTGGGTCTCCTGCTCCCAGAGTCCCTCCAGCTTTACCGCCTGTTCCCCTCCCCTTCCTTCCATTCATGATGACCTCACTGGCCTCTAGGCTGTTGCTCCAACATGCTGAGCTCAGTCCTGCCTCAGGGCCCTTGTACTTGTTCCCCTGCCAGATCTAGTCCATCACTTCTCGTCTTCTTTGATCACTCCATCTATAGTGGCTCTGCGTGTTGCTTTCCTACCTAGGTTTATTTTTATTCCTAGCATTTATCACCTTCTGTCATTATATTAAGTGTATAGTTTCTTTTTGTCCATTACCTGCCTAGAATATCAGAACCATGAGGGCAGAAACTTTGTTCACAGCTGTATCCCCAGTGTTCAAACCAGGGCCTGGCCTCCATGATGCTCAATATGTGCTTGTGGGATGGATAGATGGGTGGATGAATGGATGGATGAATAAATGGATGGATAAATGGATGTATGATATGAGGGAGGAAGGGAGGAAGGGAGGGATAGATGGATGGGTAGATTAATGAGTGGATGGATGGATGGATGGATAGATGGATGGATGAATGAATGAATGGATGGATGTTTGGATGTAGGGGTGGGTGAATGGATGGAGGGAATGAGGAGTGGATAGATGGATGAATGGATGGGAGATGGGTGGGTGGATGGATGGATCAAGGGAGTAAGAGAGGGAAGGGATGGATGGATAGTTGGATAGAAGGGTAGATGAATGGGTGGATGAAAGGGTTAACGGATGGAAGGAATGACGGGCGGATGGATGGGTGAGTGGATGGGTAGATGAATGGGTGGATGAAAGGTTGACAGATGGAAGGAATGTTGGGTGGCTGGATGGGTGAGTGGATGGGTAGATGGGTGGGTGGATAGATGGTGGGCGGATGGACATTTCTCCCAGCATCACTTCCCACCCCCAGGCTATGGGTCTCTCACTTGGCTGCCCTGACTTGCCTCCCCTGGCCCCAAGCCCAAGCAGAGAGCTCTGGGGGCTTCCACATGATTGGGCGGGATTTCTATTTCTCACCCTCCTCTGAGGCTGGGCAGACAAAAGCCTTTGTTCTTCCTGCCTGGCCCTGCTGCAGCCAGGGTGGGAAGTTGCTGGCAAGTCAGCAACTTAATTTTGCTGTAACTGAACTGAACTTTGAGGTGTAACCTGTCAAGCAAGCCCCGGAGGCTTCTGGGGTCCACAGGGGAGGGGCGTGATGGAGGTATGGTGGGGAGCACCATGGCCAGGCAGAGAGATGATCCCTATCTGGGCGGACCCCCAAGTCTCCCAGAGTAGATTCATTTTTTGAAGCAAGGAGGGGGAGCTAATAGATGAAGTTGGCTCTGGGCTCTCTATGGACAGCTGGGGATTGTGTTTCTTCTTGACCTCCAGAGTTGTTCTACAGGGTAAGGGGTAAGAAAGGGGTCCCCTGCTTAGTGCTCACAGTGGTCCTGTGAGGGGGTGTCAAGATCACCATTGCACAGAGGGAAAAACTGAGGCTCAGAGAGACTAAGTCACACGCCCCCAGGATCACCCGGCTGGAGTATGGAAGGCAAAGTGTGGACCTGGACAATGTGGCTCAGATAAAAAGGTCTCATGTGCCATGTCACCCCATCACACTTGGCATAAGAGCCACAGTTCTTCCCTAACACTGCTTTGCTGGATGAACTCAGGTAAGCCTCTTTCCCTCTTCGGGTCTTAGTTTCTCTCCTCTGTAAAATGGGAGGCTTGGCCCTAATTTAGATATTGCAGAGTTCTCTGGGTTACTGGGATCACTGGGTTCAACTTTCATAATAATATGAAGTCTCAAAGAAATTCTCAAATTCTCTCACAGTCCTGTGACCACACCCAGGACCCACAGGCCCATTAGACAGAGCAGCAAACTAAGGCCCTAACTGGCACCGTCATTTTCCCCAGAGCCCTAGAGTGTGATGGGATCGCTGGCTCTCCGCCTGAGCCCTGTCGAGAGTTCCAGGTGTCCACTTGCCCCCAAGGCTGGGCACTGCACAGGAGAGACAGTCAGAAAAAGCAGAATCTTGGGCAGGTGCTGCTGACCCATTGGGTAGGAGGTCTAAGAATCAAGATCTGCAGGATGGGGGATGAGGCGGTGGGAGGCTTTTCTCTGGAGTGGGACCCTCCCTTGGAAGCCGGACTGGATGGGTAACGTTACTCTGCTGGGCTGTCACTAACCAATCAAAACCAGTGGCCACTTGCCAATCTTCTGTCTTTGTCCAGGGCAGAATTGAATCTTGTTCAAATAAACTCAAAGGCCAGGTAGATCATTGAAGCAAAGACTGGAGAACTTGGCAATCTCTAGCCTGCCAGCCCTACCCAAACATCCTCAAGGTATCTGCATAACCAGCTCATTGCCCTGCCTACTCTGACCAGAGAATGTGGGAAGAAGCCGCGGACCTCAGTGCAGCGGTGGAGGCCCGCTTGGCTGCTCCTGACCTGCGCCTCTGGCCTCTTCAGCCTTTCCTCCAAATTCCACTCTGTGCACAAGCTGCTGGTCACCTCCCTGCACACGCTGTGTGGCTTCCGGCCTCGGGGCCTCTGCACATGCAGTCTCCTCCACTGAGTTCTCCTAGAAACAGGCCCTCAGACACGAATTCAAGTGCAAGGAATATATTTTGGGTGGTGATCTCAGGAAGCACCCATAGCAGGTTAGGTAATCAAAATAGGGAAGAAAGACCATAAAATAAATGGTATGAAACCAGTCACCACTGTGGGCAACTAGACCTCAGACCCATCAGGGGACTCTGGGAGACAGTGAAGAGCATGCATTTCAGTCATTCCAATCCAGTCGCAAGGGAAAGGATCACGTACCTTCCAACATCCCCCAGTCGTGAGCTGCGGGCTAATTCCAGGGGCTAGTTCCAACTCTCTGGAACTTCTGACTGAGCGTGCACCCACAGCCAAATGAAAGCGCTTAAGCAGACATCTGCAGTGAGCAAGAGTGGGCATCTGTCTGGGGCACACGGGCCGGGTAGCAACAGCATCTGCTACAAATGTCTCTTGCTTCCTGATCTTTTGCAAGCAGACTCCTATTCACTCTTCAAAGCCCAGCTCAGATGTGACCCCTTGGGGAAGCCTTCCCTGACCCTCCTAAATCAGTCAATCACTTCATGAGCTTCTAATATCTGCACGAATCACAGTGGATTCTTATTGCCTGTCCCACAGGGGAGTGAACAACTTAAGATCAAGGGTTTTACATCTTGGGCGTTACGAACACGCATGTCACGCAGTCTTGGGTTCTGCTCTCCTGGCCCCTCTGAACAAACTGTGGTCTCCTGTCTGTCCCCAGGGCCTGGTTGTTATTGGGCCCTCAGTGAATGTCCAGATAAAGGGATTGGAATGACAATTTCAGCTCATTGACTTTTCCTCTTTCCTCTAAACTTTCCTGGTATTTCCATGATGGATGTTTTGGTCCAGCTAGTGGGTCCTGATTCTAATTCCTCTTCAGAATCACTGGGACAGCATTTAAAAAACTTTGGGAGCTGGAGCCCCATCCCCCTGAGATTCAGATTCTGTTACTGGGATCACTGGCTTCAAGTTTCATAATAATATGAAGTCTCACAGAAATTCCCAAATTCTCACCCGGACGAGGGCACGCAGGGAGTGAGTTTGTCATGAAGTCCTACGGGGAGGGAGCCAGAGGGCAGGCAGCCTGGAGTCCATGCTGGGAGACAAACGTGGAGGAAGCAGAAATTAGAAATTAAAAGAAATGAACTGGACATATGGGCAGCCACATGGTTACAGCTTAAAAACAAACAGAAAAAAGGGAACATGGCGGAGCAATGCTTTATGACAATACGATGTAAATGACTGAGAACCGCAATGAGACCGTGCCGTCCTTAGGAAGGGGCTCTCAGATGTAGCTGCCCACTAGATTTGCCTGGTAACCCTTAAAGATTCCTATGCCCATGTCCACTCCCAAAGCCACTGCAGTGGAATCTCTGGGGCGAGACCCAGTATTTTTAAAATGCGAAGCCTGGGCTGAGAACTGCAGAACACGGGAGAACTGCTATCTCAATTCTTTGTCCCCAGAGGGGAATTCATCCTGTAATAATGTTACAAGGGTACATTGAGAACTAACTATGTACCAGGCACGGTGCTCAGACCTTTGCACACATTACCTACCCTTGTGTGGAGAGTTCTTTCATAATCCCTATTTCATCGATGGGGAAATCGAGGCACAGAGTGGTGAAGTCAGTGACCAAGGACTCACAGCTATTCAGTAGCAGAGCAGGTTTGTCCTCAGTACCCGGGGCTGCGAGTCCGGCAAAGGAGTCCTTGGCACCTCCCTCCTGTGTGCTCCAAAGTTGCTCCCTCTGACGCCCTTTGACTCACTTCGTTCAGCAAACCACAAGCAGTTGTTGTTTCCCATAAATTCCTCACGGTGTTTTTTTTTTTTTTTTTTTTTTTTTTTTTTTTTTTTTTTTTTTTTAAACCTCAACGCACAGGCAAACCCCACATCATGAAGGCTGATCGGCTTTTGAAGGCGAGACCTTCATTCCAAAGGTCAGAGCTGTATGAGCCATGTTTAATAGAGCTTATTTTAAATTGCTCCCTCAACCCTGTGAAAGGCGGGAAGTCTTAAAATTACTTCTCCCCAAAACTGGCGCCACCCTGCCCTGGAAGTTCTCTGACTTGTTTCATAAGGAATTATTAATTATGATTTGTTTTTATAATTGTCCACTTGGAGTCTTGGATGACACACGCTCAGACTTGCCCATCCTTTTTTAAAAGAAGGAATCAAAAGTTCATGGAAATCAGTTATATTTAATGAGTAGAATTACTTGGGCTCAGTCCTGGATTAGCTGTGTGACCTTGGGCAAACCCCTTCCCTCTCTGAGCCTCTGTTTTTCTAGTTGTAGTAGGAAGAGTGTGGATTAGTATCTCTCATAGGATTTAGAATATGTATTTCCTGTCAGTCACTGTGGCTCATGCCTGTTATCCCAGCACTTTGGGAGGCCGAGGTGGGAGGATCATTTGAGGCCAGGAGTCTGAGATCAGCCTGGCCAACATGGCGAAACTCTGTCTTTACTAAAAATACAAAAATTAGCCAGGTGTGGTGGCACATGCCTGTAATCCCAGCTACTTGGGAGGCTGAGGCACAAAAATCATTTGAACCTGGGAGGCAAAAGTTTCAGTGGGAGATCATGTCACTGCACTCCAGCCTGGGCAACAGAGCAAGACCTTGTCTCAAAAAAAAAAAAAATTATATATATATATATTTCCCATACCATGAATATGCCAGGGGTATATGAAAAGGCTTTAAGTGGTACATGGATGGACATTTTATGAGTTGTATTTTTTATTTCAACTTTTAAAATTTCTTGGTATTACATTTCATTTGTAAATGCAGACATTTCTTGTTGTTGGGATAGTCAACGAGGAGAAGGAGCTGCTTCATGCAGTCAGTCACTCAGGAATCTGACAGATGGGAACTCACTCATCTGCAACAGGTCTTCCAAGGTTTCCCTGAGGATCAACATCCAGCTGAGGATCCAGCCGCCAGAGGAGGGGAGGTGATGGAGGAGAAACCCATGCTCAACCAGCTCAGCCCAGAATGACATACACATCAGTTCCCCTCACATTTCACTGGATAGAATTTATCACATGGTTCCACCTAGATGCAAAGGCAGTTGGGAAATGTAGTCCCCTGGCTGGGTGACTGCTTACCTACAACACTTAGGAGGAGGAGCATGAGTCTTTGGTGGACCCTTGGTTATCTCTGTCTCGGTATTCTCTTTTTATTTTTATTTTATTTTACTTTATTTTTTGAGACAGAATCTCGCTCTGTCTCCCAGGCTGGCGTGCAGTGGCGCCATCTCGGCTCACTGCAACGTCCGCCTCCTGGTTTAAGCAATTCCCCTGCCTCAGGCTCCGCAGTAGCTGGGATTACAGAGGTGCGCCACCAGTTAATTTTTGTATTTTTAGTAGAGTTGGGGTTTCACCATGTTGGCCAGACTGGTCTCAAACTCCTGACCTTAAGTGATTCACCCACCTTGGCCTTCCAAAGTGCTGGTATTACAGACGTGAGCCACCACGCCTGACCAGTAAGTTGGCGGCAGTGGGATTTAAACCCATGCCTCTGAAGAGACAGTGTCTTAGACCGCTTGGCCACTCTACCTCCGTGGAAAATATTATTCTCTCTTTAAATAAATAAGTTGAAGAACAGAGATTTTTCCCCTCCACTTCTCAATGAATTAAAATACAATATACAATTTTCTATAGGTGGGAGGACTCATTCGATGCAATGCTAAGGTTTACTGTTTAGCTGTGGTAATCAAGACAGTCTGGTTGGCAGAGGGACAGATGCATACGACGGTGGAACAGAGTAGAGAACCCAGGAATAGACACACACAGATGTGCCCAAAAGATTTTTGACAAAGATGCAAAAGCAGTTCAATGGAAGATAAAAAGCCTTTTCAACAAATAGTGCTGGAGCAATTTGACATCCACATGCAAGAAACAAAGAAAGCGCATTGACCTAAGCCTCACACATGATCCAAAACTTCACTTAAAACAGATCATAGACTTCAACGTAAAACATACAGCTATAAAACATTTAGAAAAAAGCAGGAGAAAATCAGTCTTCAGAATCTAAAGCTAGGTAAAGAATTATTAGATGTGAAAACCAAAAGCACGATTCATAAAAGGAAAAAAATGGATAAATCAGACCTCATCAAAGTTGAAAACTTTTAACCCATGGAAGGCCCTATGAAGAGGATGAAAAGACAAGCTATAGATTAGGAGAAAATACTTGCAAACTGCATATCTGACAAAGGGCTACTACCTAGAATTCTCAAAACTCGACAGAATTCTCGAGAACTCTAAAGTCAGCAGTTAAAATCCAAATAGAAAATGAGCAAAAGACACGAACAAATATTTCAGTGAAAAGAACACGCAGATGAAAATAAACACGTGAAAAAATGTTCAACATCATTAGCCATTAGGGAAATGCAAATTAAGGCCACAATCGGATATTGCTACACACCTATCAGAATGACCAAAATAAAAAACGATGAGAACTTTCGCATTCAATCACTGGTGAGGAATGGAGACACTAGAACACTCCTACATTCCTGGTGGGAATGTAAAACAGTACCGTATTCTGGAAAACAGTTTTTTAAAAACTGCCTTATGACTTGGCATTTGCAATCCTGGACATAAAAATGAAAACTTATGTTTGTGCAAAAACTTATGCTCAAATCTTCATAGCAGCTCTCTTCATAATAGGCAAAAACTGGGAAACCACCCGGAAGCCTGTCTATGGTTTTTTTTTAATTAAAAAAAGCTGTGTTTATATCCATACCATGGACTGCTACTTGCAATAAAAAGGAATAAAATATCGATAACACACAATTTGAATAAATCTTCAGAGAATTATGCTGAGTGAAAAAAGCCAATCCTCAAAGGTTACATAAACTATATGATTCCATTTATGTAACATTCTTGAAACCACACAATTATAGAAATGAAGAACAGATTAGTGGTTGCCATGGCTCGGGGGCAGGGTTGGGGGTGGGAAATAGGTTTGGTTATACAAGGGCAATGAGGGATCCTTGTGGTGGTAGAAATGTCTGTATCTTGACTATATCACTGTCAATATCTTTATTGTGACTGTTAACATTGAGGGAAACTGGAAAGGGTATATAGACTCTCTCTGTTTATTTCTTACAACTGCATGTAAATCTATAATAATCTCAAAAGGATACATTTTAAAAAGAATATATTATACAATTTTCTATACCCAGACACTACCAAATATAATTATATCTTTGGTAACACAGACACACTGTTCTCAGATAACGGAAGTAGTGCGGCGATTATGTGTGTGGCTTGACAACTGGATGGGCTGGGTTCAAATCTCAGCTACCAGTCCCTTCACCTCCTTGGGTCTCAGTTTCCACACCTGCAGGTGGGTGAGCAATGAGAGGACCTGTCTCGTGGGGTTGCTGGGGGGACATGATGACATGATTCATGAGACATGCAGAACACAATGCTCACTTGCATGGCTGCTCAGTAAACGAAATGGTCACTTTTCCAGGCTGTAGAGAAGGCTACGGGTAGAGGCAGGCAGAGGATTGAACCCGAGAGCGTCCTCTGAGAGCTCTAGATTGGGATCATGCCTCACCAGTCAGGGGGTTTGTTTCGACTTCTTTCTCGCAGGGAAGTGGCTGCTGAGTGGTCCATTCCACTCCCCTGAGTTTGGCCTGGTCGCTTCTTGTCTGCCCTCTGGACCCCGGTGGCTGCAAACTTTCATGGGTGTCTCTCCACAAAGAAAGAACACCTGGAGCCTGTGGTTGGGACTGCTCAGGTGGAGACACAGCCTGGTGGACAATCCTCTGTAAGGCAAAATGGAGCAGGAGTGGAACCCATGCCTACTGCATACCTACTGTGTGCCTTGTGGCTTACGTGCCCCAGCTCACAGAATTCTCCCAATAGCTTTGAGTAGTAGGTGCTATAATCACCCCTGCGTGATCCAGAGAAAACTGAGACTCGGAGAGGAGAATGGACTTGTCCAAGGTTGTGCAACTAGTAGGTGGCAGAGCTGAGATCTGAGCCCTGGTCTGTCTGATTTAAATCCAGAATCATTTTCACTGTTGATAATAACCTTATCACTTATTAAATATCTACTAGAGTAATAAATATGCTAGCTCTTTCCATTGAGGTATGATCACCTTTCCATTTTAGAGAAGAGGAAGCAGGGGTTAGGCGAGGTGCATCGCCAAGATGGACAACAGTTCTCAAAAAACAGCCAGTCTCGCAGCCAACGGGCAGCTTTCTGGTGTGCCTCCAACCCCACCTGTAGCTCCAACCCAGCTCAGCCAAGATCACTCAAGCTTTGGGACTTTTAAATGCTGAGTCAGCAAACAGCCCCTACCTTGAGATACACTGCCTAGGCAGGCTGTGGGTGTTTGCACTTCAGCTTCAGGCATCCAGGGTCAGCTGAGACAGCAAGAGCTTCCCCTGGGGGCTGGATGGGGTCATTGGGAGCCACTGAGAGACCCTTTCCCCTCTTGGCCTGGCAGACAGAGTGGCAGTTGGAAGAGGCTCGAGGTGGCGGTGGTGGTAACAACTTCCTTTTGAGTAATAACATTTACTGAAAAGCAATTCTGCTTTTAGCACCAGAAGTTCACCACCCTTGCAAGCAGGCGCCTAAGAATACCTTCATTCAACCACAGTTCAGAGATTCACAGACTTCCTTTTGCACTACCTCCAGGAGAGTTTCACATTTGGTATTGAGGGAAAACCAAATACCACAATTATTGGAGGGAGTAGGAGGGGTGTCGAGAGGGAGGTGATGTGAAGGGGGCCAGGTGGCATCAACCACATCCCCTAAGACCCCACAGGCAGCCTCTGGG